CCACACTGCTCCTCTCAGAGCCCATGCTCCTGACAATTATGACAAAGACATTTTGAGACTAGATCTTCCAGTTCTCAGTCCACTCTTCTTGCTGCCTCTGAACCTCTTTATGAGATGCAGGGCAAGGTCCCTGCCCCTTCATCTGGTGCAAATATTCCTTTCTCATAGCTCCATGCCAAGGCTGGAGTCAGAGCAATACAGTAAGGACAGACAGAACAGTGCCCTGGCAGCTAGGCTGTGCACATCATTTTTGTGGTCTCCTTCAATTTAGCTCAGCTGGCGACACCCCTTGATGTGCTACCATCCAATGTGAAGATGTCCTGGAGGACAGGAGGACAAGGGAGTTGGGAAAATTGCCTCCAAGATGCCAAAACCACATCTCTCCCACCTCCGCCTTCCAGTTTGCAGCGCAGAAAGATTTATGGTGCTGCCCAGATGGGTCATTCTTGAGATAAAGGTCATAGATCTTGTAGCTGACAGGCCTCCTCAATCAGTGCTTCAGGAAAACTTCCACTGCTGATAAATGAGCTGTCTCAAAAGCCTCAGCCACGGGCTCCTAAAGGTCTCCATTTCTTGGGATTTCTCATTTATCCTGCAAGAGGGACTTCCACCCTTGATGCCACATAAGGAAGATGGGCTGGAGTGGGACTCTGAGATGCTTCCCTTGCCCCTCCTGACAGGAGCCCCGGCTCTGTGTCCCCTCAGCAGAGGCTGGGCCTGTGGGGAGCATCATTAGCACTCACAGACAAGGAGCCCTGCATACAGGCAGGTCCAGCTAAAATATCCTACAGGAAGATGCTAGAGGGTGGGCCACAAAGATGGGGACTTTTGGATCCAATAAGGCAAAGTACAAGCTGACCAGTGGAGAGGAAGCCCCATGACATTTGGAGACAAAGGCTAACAGGAGTTTTGACTGTGGCCAACACTGCCACTTGTCCCCTCAGTATCTGACCTCCCTTCCTTTTTTCCAAGCTGAACTCAGCTTGTTTGGGGAAGCAACACACCCAGTTAACAGTATCCCTCTACCCCAACTCATTTGTTGCTGGGGCACTGCAAGAGATATCAGCACTACTCCACTAGGGATTTCTGGAAAGATTTTGCTTTCTTGCCACAGGCATTACACCCTCTACCTTCCACTCCATTATTTTCATGCTAGCTTTGCTAATATAGAAATAGCTACAGAGCATCTATCTTGTAACATGCTAGGGACCAAAGGACAGAAGGACCTGGAACACCACAGCATCGTGGAACTACTGCGCCAACCCTGAAATCCTACCTCCATACTTGTGGTTATGCAAACAAAATAACCCTCTCTTTTGTTAAGGCACAGGGGTCATTATTCTGTCATATGGTACTAAACATAATCCTGGGTTATAGAGTTCAAGCTCTTATGACTGGGAATTTATCAAATTGCATTAGCCTGTTTTCCCCATCTACAGGAGGGAGATGACAAGAATAATAATTGTGACTATGCACAGGCACCATGAGGAATGTTTGGCAGGCATTACCCACTGAATTGAGAAAGCCACCCCTGTATACAATAGGCAGAGACACAGTGTGCACTAGAATGCCCACTTGGGGGCTGGGGTGGTGGCTCAGGGATAGAAGGCTCGCCTAGCACGTACAAGGGGTGGATCCTCAGCACCACGTAAAAATAAACAAGTTAAAGGTATTGTGTCCAACTACAACTAAAAAATATGGAATGCCCCCTGGAGCTGCTTTGTGGGACTCCTGTGAGGCTCAAGTGAGACAAGGCTCCAAATGCCTCAGCAACGAGACCTGTTCTGTAGGTACTTACCAAAGCCCACGTTTCCTGGAGCAGAGGCAGAGGCAGAGGCAGAGGCAGGGGGAAGCAGCCCTACCCCAGCACAGGAAGAAAAGTTATGGATTCATGCCCCCCACTCCCACTCAGAGGGAAGAAGGAAACAAAGAGATTTCAGCTCAGTTGTGCAAAATAGAAAAGCCAAGTCACTTCCAGGAGAAACCAGGCCTTCCACATGGCTTCGCATGGGCCTCCTGCAGAAATGAAGGCCTAAGTGCCCGCCCACGGGCAAGACCCTGGGACCCAGAGCTGGTCCTCTTCCTCATGCATACCTCCCCTCCACACGCCCCAGCACCCCAGGCCTGCCTGCCATCAGCACCTCTCCAGTCACCACAGGACACTCAGCCTTATTCCAAGGGCTGCCCCTGCCCAGGGCCTGTCTTGGAATGGGAAGTGGCTGCCTTCTATTCAAGCTTCATCTTCTTCATCTTCTATTCAAGTCTTCATCTTCTCCAATGCCCACAAACCAGTGCATTGCCCATGTTTTACAGGTCAGGGCACTGAGTCTGAGAGGCCAAGAAACGGATCTAATCCACAGGATACCCTTGCAGGAATTCAGGCCTGAACTCCTGTCTCCAGGCTCTAAAGCTTCTGATGTGAACCACTATACTGATCTGTGAAGTTCAGGGGAAGGGAAACAGGGGGAAGACAGGAGGGGGGTGAAAAGGGAAGCACTAGGGGTTAAAGTAGAGACAATTATATTCCGTGCATGTGTGATTATGTCAAAATGGCCCCAATATTCTATAGAACTATAATGCAGTAATAACTTAAAAAAATGATTGTTGCTTTTGTCTCTGTGGGCCTCTGCATCTGTATTTCTGAATGGGTGTTCTTTGTTCTCTGTCTCTTGACGTTTGTGTGTGTGTGAACGGAAGGTGGGAGGCTCAGCCCAGTGCTGTGGTTTAATGGGGAGGGTACCTTGTGTCCCCCTGCCCCCTCCTGTCTCACACCATTTACCCCAAGCCTGGGTCTGTATGTTCTGTTGCTCCCTGTGACTCCCTCTCTTGGGGGCATCCCACTGGCACACCACACCGTGGCTGCCTGGCCCTCTAACCTCCGTGTCCTCAGAGCCGTCTGCTTTGTTGGCAGTTGGTTCTCAAGTGCCTGGCACAACACACAGTGTGGGCTCTGAATCTATTTTTGTTGAAGGAATAAGTATTTGTTGGACATACTAAAAAGGGAGGATGATACCCCCAGCACTAGGGAAGATGGTGGGGTCTCTCCTAAAGGCAGCTGGGAAGTGGGAATGGGAGGGTAGGAAAAAGTCTAAAGCCAAATTCTCCATCCCTTAGCATGTTTACAATTAGAGGATTTGTCAGAACATCATGTGCTTATTGGCAGGACCCAGTGGTCTGGGAAATTAAAAACTCAGGTATTACAGTGGTTGAAACTGCCATGGAAGATGCAGGTTCAAACCTAAGCTCCCTCTATCCCTTGGCCTCTCTGAGCCTCATCTCTTGCTTGTCAATGGGAACAAGGACAGGACCTAACAAGTGGAGTAAATCCTCATTTTATAGATGAGGAATCAAAGAGGGTAAAAGATGTCCTGCAGGTCACACAGCTATGAACAAGGTTTTCTTCCACTCTGGATCAGTGGAAGACTCTGACCCCTAAGAGGGAAAGTCAAGATCTCCAGCGAGCAGCCTTTGAGGGCCAGACATTAGCAACCCCCTACTCCAAAATGCACTCAGAATTTAAGAATGACACATCTCAGCAACAGCCTCAATAGGAAGGGGCCTGCACCTTTTCTCATGGATCTGTTAATGGGACCCTGTGGCACTGAATTAGAGCAAAATGGTGTCATGTCATCTGCTTCCATGAGGTATGTGATAAACTGGAATTGAAGTGCTCAGCACAGGGCCTGGCACACGGTAAATGCACAGTAAATACTAATGATAATGCTAATACATAGCTGCTATGATTACTGAAACAGCTGCAGCCCAAGCCCTCTTACGGTGATTCTCAGATGGATGGGTCAAGGAGCTAGCTGGTTCTTTCTGGGTCTGCTCCACTGCTCACAACACCCCCACAGATAAATGGACTCTCCTCTCTGGCCCTCCTCTACCCTGTGGGTACACAAATTCCCCTGCCCATTACCCACAGGACTGGGCTGAGCCTCCCACCTTCTGTTCACCTTGGAGGGGTGAAAGAGCAGAGGCTAGGGTCAGGTCAGCCAAGGGAAGGGAGAGGAGGTGGGGCAGAGGAAGCCACCATGCCCGAGCCGCACTCACATGCCTGTCCTCCCTCCTCCTGTTTTCTGCATGCCGGCCAAGTGCTGGGAACCAGGGGTGCAGACTAAGTCAAGTGGGCTGTGCCCTTTGGTATATGAAATTCACTCCCCAAATATGAGGAATCTGGCTGAGAGGCTCCCACTCACACCTAGAGTCTCTCCTGCATGCAGATGAGCCTGAGCCCTCTGTGCAGTCCATCTGTCACCTGAAATACAGAGCCTCCAACAATCTGAAGGGGCCTGGGACTGCTGTCACAACCGAGACAACCATCCACATCTACTTCACAAGAGGCTCATCCCCCACAAAGTAGTACCCAGTGTAGCTGGCACCTTCCCCTCCAGGCCCAACTACCAATGATTGCCAGTCATGGCCATTGCCCAAACCACCTGGCAGCTCCCAGAGGAACTGTCCTGTCTAGGCCTCATTAAAGAAGGTCTTGTGGGTCTGTGCCAGGACCGGGCAACAGAGACCAAGAAAACCCAGACCCTGCCCAGCAGATCTTAAACTGATAAATCTTTAAATCTGAAGACATGCAGGAATAAGTCTTTTTCATGTTTGAGATGTGGTGGAAGGCTTGGCTATAGAAAGGAAATACCAAGAAAGGTTCGCATAGTTTAGTTTATTAAAGTGAAACACACAATATGGGGGAACCAGAACATGGTTCCCTGTTAAAATAATACATTTGAGGAAATGTTTCTCCAGCTATCACTGTAACTGATCAAGCATGTGACATTGTTCTTTTACAAGATATATAGTTCCTAACACTCATGCAGAGAAGACCGGATCGAGGACCTTACCTGTGCAATATGTTGTGTAGGGTGCCAGTGATCCAGTTGATTGCCTGTGACAAGCAGAGACAAAGAGCCCACACAGACATACATATTCAGTGTCTTGAGTTTTCTTTCAAAGAAAGTATTTCACACGTCATGTACAAATTAAACACAAAGTCCAATAAGAGTCCTTTATTGCCACTGAAAAGGGGGGAAATGATTTACAATCTCATAACCAAAAGCAAGAACAGAGCCCTAGGGCAATTTGTTTCTGCAAATGCCATAGTCCCACGCGTTCCTGCCAGTTGATGGTGCATCCCAGTCACTGAGTCCCAAGACAAAGGTTGAACAAGGTCATGAGGTTGTGATTATCCACCCTGGAAGAAGCCTCTTTTGTTCCCAGATGCCGGAAGTGCTACAGCTCTCCTGCTTGGTCAGTAGATACAACACAGCTGAATACGAGGGGCTCAGGACTCTAAATAGTGCAAACACTTAAAAAATATACATTCCAACCTCCTTGCTTCTACTGGCAAACAGAGCCTCAAAAACTCCACCTAACTGGAATATGAGTGTGCTCAGCCTCCCAACTTGATCCAATGAGGTGCAAATGGGGAGCATGGAGGTGATTTAAATGGCACCCGTCCCAACAACAATACAAATAAATGTTTAAAAAAAAAAAACATGAGGCTATGTTAGATAAATACACAAAACAGAGCCTGGAGTGGAGACACAGCTTGGGAGATAAGTCCCAAGTGTAGCGTGAGCATCTGCAGAGCGCGTGCTGAACACGTTCTTCTCAGGGACCATGGTGGACCCCTCCAGGTGAGACAGGGACAGATGCTTCCAAAAAAGACCTGGCAGCAAATACCTTAGGTCCTGGAAGTTTCAGAAGAATAAGAGAACAGAACAGAATGAGGAATGGTCTGCTGGACCCAGAAAACTCAAAGAGTGTGGGCTGCCAGGCAGGCCACACTCTGCAGTTGTTCCATGCCCGTGGGCCAGGCTCAGTACCAGACAGTAAGAGCTACAAGAGGTGGGCCAACCCAGCCTCACCTCTCAGGAAGCAGACTCCAAAAAAACAGCTAGACAGACAGACAGACAAGCAGTATAGTTGGGTAAGTGCTAAGTTAAGCTTAACATTAGGCCCTAGCAATTTAAGAAACACCAGTGACTGCAGTTTCTTTTCCCCCCACCCCTTGGTGCCGGGGATTGAACTCAGGGGCTCATGCATGCTAGGCAAGCACTCTACTGAGCAACATCCCAGCCCAGTTGCATTTAAATTTAACAGTTTCCCTTGAATATGGTATAAAAATGGAGGCCCATCTACCTGGAGCTCCTGAAAATCTGTTTGAGGAGGGGAGAAACAAAGGGAAGACAGCAACAGGTACAGATTGTGTGTGAGACTGAATGAAGTACAGAACATAACATTTCATCACGGTGGACAACAAAAAGCAAGTCAGATATTTGAAAAATGATCTTATAAAAATATCTACATTAAAATTTTAGCCTGAAAGCTATAGCTTCAATTTTATAAAAAGACAATCTTTGAAAGGATCTGGCTCAGAAATATACAAACATTACACAACAGATACCAAAGTAAGACAGCTCAGAAAGCATCTGAGGGGATATTGCAACTGGCTTGTCATGAAATAGAATTAAGTATTCTTATTGCATAGCAGAAAATGAGGTCACTTCATTTGCATAATACTGCAACTTTTGAGATGAAGAGATGCCATTGGGTACTTAAGAGAAATAACTTTGGAATTCACAAGCTGATTTCTACACTGTCCAAATCAGTATCCAAGTGGCGTCTAAGCTGCTTCTAACCTTGGGCCTCAATTCCATTTCCCCACCGCAATCAGATTCCAGATATGCCACTGGCAAAGCCGCTTTTGCAAGCAGTAGTGGCCACCCCAATGGGGGTGGGAAGGGGGAGATGTCACGTACCATGTGACCTGCACTGACTTAAAGTCAGTCTGATGTATCCACTGTGGGGAAAGAATAATACCTGGGGATAAAGAGACAGCAGTTTCAGGATGGCATCTGTGGGCAGCCACAGAAGAGTGGCTTTTTGGTAGTGACATGCCAGTGTCCTAGTCCCCATGAGAAAGGATGCATGAGGATGAAATAAACACGCCTCAGCAGCACTGCCAGCAGGGACAGTGCCTCCTAGGCAGGGAGATGCCAGGTGGGGCCAACAGCGAAAACCCAAAGGCAGAAAACACAGCTGACTAGCTTTCAGGGGAGGGATCTTTCTGGGAAGATGACACACAAAAACTAGCCTTCCCCATGTAAGCACAAATGTCTAGCTTCTTGGTGGTGGGAGAGGGGATGGGAATTCGCCTCTCTTCTGATTGGAGGGCTTGTGTGAACAGCATACCTCAACCTCATTCTTACTACATGTACCGTCCCCCAAACAAGTGCTAGAACTTCTTTGGAGAGAAAGGAAGGACATTTGGAATAAAAAGCTTATTCTATCAACTTCCAACCCAGGGATAGGCAGAGCTCTGAAAATCACAGCCATCCCTGCTGTGAGACAAATCCCTACTGGGTAAGACCAGAGCACCTAACTCAAGCATGCCTTGATTCCTCCAGAAACATCTTCTAGTTCCACCCAAGCTGTACTAAAATATCCTCTTACCAAGGCTATAAAATCTCCTGGGTACCTTGATGCTCTCCAAACATCTCACTGAAATAACACTTGCTAAATACTGGGAAGAGAAATTTCAACTACAGGAGTGTTGTACAGGAGTGCACAATAAATATACTACCTGGACATCAGGAAAGGTTAACCCAGCTCCTAAAGTGTGAGACTATTCAAGACACAAAACGTCAATGTCATAATTCCAACATGAATAGTTTTCTAGCTTGGAAACTGCATGGCTTCAAGGTTTTGTTTTGTTTTTTAGTACAAATGACCCCCTGCACCCTCAAATATGCCACTCCAGATGCTTGAAATTCTATCATTGATAATTCTGACCAATGACTTAGCAAAGCTCTCATCAAACTCCTCTTTTAAAATGCAAGTGTCCTGGGAAGAAATCTCAAATCTAGGGTCCACTGCCATCTCCCGCCTCACAAGGGAAGCAAAGAGGGAAGGTGTCCTGAAGGCTGAGGCACAAACCCTGAATTGGAAGGAGAGCACAAGAAAAGGGAGACAAGCATGAGACAGACCTGACCCTTGTCACAAAGTCCAAGGGCTGACACCAGTGGGTATACTCCTTGAAGTCCTTCATGGCCATCCGAATCATATGACCCCAGCCAACACAGGGACAGAACTATCTCTGGGTTTGATGGAAGGGTGACCTGTTACTTATCCTCCAAATCAGAACACTTGTCAGTATAATTTGGTGCTGTGAATAATGAGACCCAAATGATAAGTATACATGGGGGCTGTCCTGTCCTGGGAAACCCAGAAGTCAGACCCCTTTCTGAGACCACTGTGGGCAGGGATTGAATCCTTACCACTTTGGTTTTTTGTTTTTGTTTTTGTTTTTTTCTTATATATTTTTTTCTCCAGTGTGCTACCTGGGCTTCTCTGAAGAATTTGTTTTCCCTATGGAAGAGACACAAAATCTTCCAAACCCAGAATCCATGACATCAAAGATCAGAGGCCCAGATATGAAGACTAGGCCATTCTCACCTTCCCAGAGGAGAGCCTGAGGAAGAATGTCTGGCGAGGAGCACAGATTCTGTTTGCTCCCTGGCCTGGTACCCAGAGGACATGGCAGCTTCAAGAAAGGCCCAGAGCTACAGTAGTCAAGTCACCTGTACAGGTACGGTCAGAGGACTGCCCTGCCCTGGCCGATTACTCCTAGACATGCCCAGCCTATCCAAGTGGATCCCCAGAAGACAGCAGCTATGGCAATCTTGGGGTTTCCATGGGACAAATCCAGAAGAGAGGTTTCTGTGATTTTGAGTTTTAGCATGGTGAAGGGATCAGTAGTAAAGAAATCCAGTGGGACGATCACACATCACACATCCCCACACCCCAGCCGAGAGAAACACCATGTTTTACACACACACACACACACACACACACACACACACACACACGGTTCTCTGTTGTCCCTGTAGAAACAAGAAAAAAAGCCCAAAGGTGCTGCTGAGGCTGTCAGGAACTCCGCTGCTCAGGGTAGAGGCCAAAGCACCTTGGGGGAGAGGGAGCTGGGTCACCCGAGTCCACGCTGCGAGAGGCTGCACCGGTGGGAGAGGGTGCTGCTCACACCACCTCGGACCCTCCCAGTGAGTTGAATCCAGTCGTTACGGTCCCACGGCTCCCAGTCACAGGCAGCACCTGCTCCTTCCTCCGTCTCTTAGCAGTGGGAGTTTGGGTCACAAGGACTTGTGGATCACAGCAACACCTAACATGAAAGGGGAAGAAAGTGATCACCTTAGCTTCTCCAAAGTTATTCAGAGTCCCAGGGAAGACAGCCTAAGTCACAGCTGAGGGAAATAGGTACACTTTTTATCCAAATATTAAAGGGTTTGTGAACCTGGGCTCCCAGCACTCAGCTATTTCCCACTCTAACACCCAAGTCCCGGCAAGACATTTAAACCCACGAGCACAGTCCCTCAAACACTGCAGGTGGGTGGACTCATCCTACACCATCACAAAGATCATCCAGATCTGAGACATCTCAGCTAATCTGCAGGCAGCACCCTCATTGAGAATGCAGAGGCCCTGCACAGCTCTGTGTCTGTGTCACCACAGAGAAGTGATTTGTGTCTGATTTAGAAGACACTGAAATGAACTAGGAAGAACAGAAGACTGACTAAATGGAAGTAAAAAAAATACTGAATGTAACCCTAGCTCTGCCACCTATCATCCTGCACTGTGGCCTTAAGCCAAGTCCAGTCACCTCCTCACACCCAGTTCCCACACTATTTAATGTCATCTTACCAAGAGGCTCTTCCAGTGCTAAATTCTTTAAATTCTTTCAGCACCTAACGTGGTAAAAGGTGAAAGAGTACAACTTGGTGAATCCATGTGTGACCTACAATCTCACCGTAGTAGACTGACGCTACATGAAAGACACTGTAGACCAAGTCCTCTGCCACAGACACCAGCTAGTTACATGCTTAGATTCCCAGACTACTCTGCAGCTGGAAGTGCCAGGTGGTCCAGTTGAGGCCAATGACATTGTAAATGCAAGTCAGCCAGTGTTGCAGCCTGGACTTGTCCTCATCCTTCCTGGGATGCTTATGCAAGGTCAAGCTATGAGAAAGCTGGCAAAAGAAAATGGAGGGAGATACCTGGTTCTTCAGTGACAGACTGGGTCACCAGTGAAACTGTGGATTTCTTCCTACCTGAGACAAATACACTTCCTTTCTTATACAAGCAACAGTCTGTCAGTTTTTCTGGCACCTGCTGCTAAATAAAATGCTAACTTAAACAGTGTCTACAGGTAAGATGGTTATGGGGGGCTTGTTTTAACATATTCTCACAACTGTAAATGTTCTGGTTGAAGAGAACATTGCTAAAAGAAAGCCCAGGATACCCCATAAGAGAGATTCTGCCAAAACATCCTTTCCTGGATAACGGTGACAACAAACATGCGTGGAAGCAGAGAATCCTGAGTCTGGAAAAAGGCATGCCATATGACCTTGACAACATCTCACCTCCACCCTGGACAACTCTTTCATAAGGTAGTTTTTGTTTTTTGATTTGATTTTTTTTTTTTTTGTACCAAGGATTGAACCTAGGGACACTTAAACACTGAGCACATTCTCAGCCCTTTTTATATTTTATTTAGAGACAGGGTCTTGCTGAGTTGCTTTACAGCCTCACTAAGCTGCTGAGGCTGGCTTTGAACTTATAATCCTCCTACCTCAGCCTCCCAAGCTGCTGGGATTACAGGCAGGCCCACCACACCCAGCAGGTAACATTTTTTAAAGCAGGCTCCTGTATTGCTTTTTTTATATAAGCATTCTCTTTTGATTATAAAAGTAATATATTCTCATTATGGAAAATCTAGAACACAAAGAAAAAAATCTTTCAGCCTTTCACACAAAAACAACTGCCACTATCTTTTTGGATTATTTCTTAGCTTCTAATTTGCATAGTGATTATTTCTTAGCTTCACATTTGTTTACTGAGAGGTGTTCGGTGCCAGGCAGGCGCTGTGCAAAGCACTGTACACATATTATCCCATTTCATTCTCACAACAGCCCTCAGAGGCTCAGTGTAGTTTTGTTCCCATTTTACAAGTGATACAACAGAGGCTAAGTCAGACTGAATACCTGGTCCAGAGAAGGGCTAGCGGCAGAGCCAGGATTCAAGTTCAGATTTGACTCCATTATCCATTCCCAGACGCAGTACCTGTTCAAGCCCACCACTGCCCCAAGGCAGAGCTACAGGACTGAACAGGGTACACACTGCCCAGCCCCCTTTAACTGAACTCCTGTCACAAATATTTTCTCATGACATTAAAAATACACTTCTGAAAAAATAGCCCAAAGATTAAGTATTTTCCTTATGAAAGACATTAAGTAGTTCTTGGTTTTTCGCTAAATAATTAACACTCCAATAAATAACTCTCTGAATCTTTACTTTTCTGAGAATGTCCCCAGACTTTAAGACTCAATGGGGCAATGGGATTGAACACAAAATTACATCCTTGTTTGTCTGCTTCCCACCTACATCTGGTGTAGGTAGAGAGTGAAAACAGGCACATGAAATATTCAGTACATGTAGGAAATTCTTACCAGCCATAGTGAAGCCCTCCCCTCTCATTAAGGCACATTTGGAGCCAAGGGGAGATCCCACCAGTGTTTCAACGTCTTATCCTAGAAAACAGCCTGCTCATCTCTCTACAATTTAAGAAAGTGATGGTGCTGATTTTCATAATTAGCCATTGGAACAGAATCGCTCTAGGAACAAAATGCTTCTAAAATCTTTCCTATTTAGCTAAAACAAAACAACAACAAAAAAACATAATTTTTTCTCATAAGGTGAGAAAAAACCCTACAAGAGGAAAAAAGTGAAAGAAGTTCATTGCAATAGGAGCCTTGTGCTGAAAGAATGTGATAAAACCCTTTGGAGCCTGCCTGATACCAATGGAGTCCAGATGAGGACTAAATGAGAAAATGTTTATAAATATTCAGGATGAATATCTGGTACATTGTGTGTGCTCAATAAGTAAGTGTCTGGCCTAACTATTCCAGTTTCTGGAGACCAGATTCAGGAGCTGGGCTACATCGTGGCTATACATTTGCTTGCCTCCCCAAAGAACCTGGACTTTTACAATATCAACCCTGATGTCGCCCCAGCCCCTGTACCTTAGCAAACCCCACACACACTCCACAAAAAATAGGTAGACTCCACTTCAGCCTACCATTATTCCTACTGACCTCTTACCCCAATCCTGAGCCAGGGTAGTATAAGGGGTATAGCTTAGAAGTCAAACCCAAGACTGAATTCTGACTTTGCCATATGTTAGTTTTGTGGCCTTTGCCAAGTTAAACTCTCAAAGCTCGGTTTTATTATCTGTAAAATGGAAGGACACAGTCCCATTCAGCCTTAGGGTGGATGGAAAAGAAGAGGGTAAATGTGTACACTGTACCTAACACACCCTCCATGGCACAGAGAGGGGCTCCCAGCAAAGGGCAGTTCTTTGTGTCATTGTGACCCACTGTTAAGGATTGATGGAGGCCATCTCCTCCAGGTGGAGGTCCCGAACCTGCCAATTCTCAATTTATTACCCTGTCAGGTAATAAAAATGTACAGGGCATTCCACTCATAACTTGTGTGTACTTCATCTTGTATTTCCCCTGTTCTGTACAGATAGGGCTTATCTTTCCAACTCAACTTCCAGAGAGCAAGAACTGTACTTGTGCCACCTGGGAGCCTGGTACAAAATAAGCCAGGAATGGCAATGAAACTCGAAAGTGTTTTGTGGCAGCGCAGATCATTTGGAAGAAGCTCCCTGAAACACTACAATAAGAATGCTAAAGCTACATTCAGGTTCACAAGGGACAGGCTAATTATCAGCATCTTTCCTGGGCACAGAGTGAAAGAGTGGTAACAATGTGACAATTACCTGCCACCCCAGGAGGAGGCACTCAGTCCCAAGTTAAGCAAGCTCACATCTCCTCCTCCCCTCCCCAGCCCAGGCGGGTGGAGCTGGAACACAGACCTGCATAGCTCCGGCCAGTACTCATGTTGGTTGGTAGCAGTGTCCACTTGTCCGTGACAGGATTGTAGTACTCCACTGAAGCCAGGTTGCAGGATCCATCGTCTCCTCCAACCACATACAGGAGCCCATTCACTGCACAGACCCCTGGGAGTCAAACAGAAGTCACCGGAGACATTAGGGCACCAGAGACCTGGATCTGCAGCAGATGCGTGCTGGCTGCCCTGGAGGCTCATTCCCTCACACATGGTGGGACCACGGAGATCCAGCTCTGCAGGTCTGGGTTTGCTCAGAGGCGGCACATGCTGCCAACAGCCACTCCTAGGCTCTGAGGATCCCCTATCCTAACAGTTATTTCTCTCACTACCACACAGTCCCTCAGATGTTCCCTCCATCCCTTCTGATAGAGCATTGTGAGTTCTCTCAATGAATACTGAGCACCCAGCACATAGATCTCCCAGCCCCGCAAGCTGGAGAACAAAACAGTTGAGTGATTTTGTACACGCTACTAATTCTCTGCTTGTAAGCCTTCCCCTGTGTGGTGCTAATAGCAGTGTCTATAACCCCTTCACAAGACAGGGTTCTAAACTCACACACCATTCCCAGGGTTCAGGCTCCCCTCCTATCCTTAATGGGATTACTTAATGGGATTAGATTACTCCTAATCTCAGAGTAAGCCAGTTGCGGGGCAAGGTCTCAAGAAGTGGGGACTAAAGATTAAGAACGTATAACTAAGATGATGCCCTAAAAAGTAGTGTTGGTATCAGCGTTGGTGAGGATACTCTCAAATATTAGTGAGAGAATAAAATGGACCACCTTCCTGAATGCACATGTGCTCCCTCTGACTCAAAATTCCACTTTTCACCTTTTATTATAAGAATAATTTTAAATATATGCATTGATTTAACTACAAGAACCATTTACAATAACCAAACTACTACTTAGACTCTAAGACAAGAAAATAATGTAAACAAATTCAGTGTATCATAGGATGTTGATGAAAGATGGTGAAGGGAGCTTTTAAAAGCAGTTATAAAACAGTGTTATAGTGTGACTCCATATTTGTTATTAACAGAAATATCTATATGTGAATATTTGCATATACTCCTGTTTACATTTAAACTTTTTCTCAGATTTCAGATCCTGCCTTAGGGTCTGTAATTCCCTGCTCATGTGGCTTAAGGTCAAATGCCAAGTTAAATCACAGCAGACTCAGGCAATGAGTAAATCAGTAAACTTCCCCTCCGTTTATACTTCCAACAAGTCAGCCACAAATGGGTTTAGCAAACAGGTAATATGAGAATGAAGGTAATAATTCTGCCTGAAAAAAACCTGTTTGTCTTTCCAGCCTGGGAGGGTGGGCTCAGCTGATGCTTTCCCAAAGCACAGAGGCGTGACCAAAAGGACAAAACTCCAAAAGGAAATAGCTTGACAGGACTCTCAGGCTCCGGGAGATACACATCTAAACCCCCTAGGGAAGGAACAGGGGAAGGGAAAGAAAGGACAGGAGACACAGGAAGTACAAAGAAGGGAATAAAGGAAGAGGTTCTCCTGGAGAACAGTCAAGGGTCCAGCTCTCCATGTAAGGAAGGAGACTGGATTCAGGTAAAAGTGGGAGTCGCCTAGCCAGGCAAAAGCAATGAAGGGACGGGGCCAAGTGCTTGTCTGGCCCATGTCCACACAGTGCTGCACTTAAGCCATTGGGCAGGGGCACTGGTGACAGTCAGAGGTTTTTTTCTGGGTCTGTGTCAAACTGCATGCAGTAAAATAATCACCTTTCATGGGGGGACGAGGGGGATGACGACCCTTGTGCATCTAAATGCAGAGACCTGTGGCAAGTATTTTGTGTCCTGAGCTCTCCCCGCCCCTCACCTAGAGCCTGCCCAGCAGATGGATACTCCCTCCCTATTCAGTGTTCAAGCTCAGCTTGAGATGCTGAGAATCTCTCCCCTCTTCCTCTCATGGAGAACTGTTACGTGCAGAGCGAAGAGGCCCAGGACTCCCACGTCCCATTACCTGCATTGCGTCGGCACATGTTCATGTCCGCCACCTGCTTCCAGGTGTTTGTTCCAGGATCGTAAACTTCAACACTCTTCCTCACCAAGGGCCCATCATGACCGCCTGTGGCATACAGCTGTCCGCTGAGCACCCCAACCCCTGAAAGGCAGAGCGGTGTCCCGGCCTTAGGCTGGCTACAGGAACCAGACACCATGAGGCCTGATGTCCAGCCCCAGATGGTCACCACCAGCAGGTGACTTGGGGAGTGCTGTTTTATCTCCCTGGACTTCAGTGTTCTCATCTGTAAAATAGATACAATGATACCCTTCCCGCCTCCTCAAGAGATTGCCAAAGTGGAAATGTTGAAATATACGGCAAATATGACCCCATTCCTGTTTTAAAAACATAAATATATGCATATTCATATGTGGTAGGTAAAAAGCAAAAAAAAAAAAAAAGACTGAAATTCACCCAAACATTCAAAGTAGTTATTTCTGGGGAGTAAAATCACATTTCTTTCTTTTTTGCCTACCTATAATGCCTTGCCTTCCAAAACTGTTGCATTACTCAGCATTGTAATAATCGAGTCAAAGGGTTAAAAATTGAAACTAGCCATGCAGTAAGTGTGCTAAGATCATTACCAAAGAGACCTCCCTCAAAGTCTTGAGCGGAAGCTGTTTTTCTGCCCACTTCTCTCCTGGATGCCAGAGGGCATTAGACCAGGCACTGAGCTGGCCAGCCTGAGGCATCATTTACAAGCTTCAGTGCAGCCTTTTAAAATCCTTTAATACAAGTCAAGGAGACAAAAATCAATCAAGGAGGGTGGTGGCACCTAGAAAGAGCAACTGGCCTGGTGACTGGGACACCTGGGTTCTAGACCTGCCTCTAATTCCTTCATTGGGTGATCCTTCCCTTTCTGGGCCTCAGTTTTCCCATTTATGAAGGAAGGGGGATGGAATGGGTCAAAAATGCCTGTGGACTACTCCCCTCGGTGGACAGGCTGCATCTCCAACAGCTGGGGGATTTCTGAGAAGGTAGGTTCTAGGGCTTCACTCCCAGACACACACTGGTCAAGAGCCTGGAAAAGTTCCACGGGTAATTAGGATGTGCAGCCAGGTTTCAAATTCAAGAACTAAATTTGTAAAACACAAACTTCATATGGACAGAGAACTGTCTTGTCCTTGCCTTGTTCCCTGTGCCAGGTAGTTTAAGTCCTCAGCGGACATTTGAATGACAAAGTGTGTAAAATTCCCTTCAGCAATTAGGTTAGCAAACTAGTGGTTCCTAGCAATTGCCCTAAACTAACAGCAGATGGAGCTGTTGTTCCGGCGATGGCTAGCTAATGGATGCAGGCCTAGTAAGTCAACTGGGTTCCTAAGCTCTACCTTCCCTTCCTCCAAGGTGGGCAAGAACTGCTACCCCTGGAACCCTGAGATGGCCTCCTTTCCCCTAAATATCCTCTGGTTTTGCCCACAACCTGCTGAGGAAGGAAGCAGCCTTCCAGGCACTCATGGGCGGCCTGATCCATGAACTCAGATGCAGAGGTTTCCTGTATCTAGAGCCCAGCCTGGGTACCTCCAAGGGTCTCAGGCACCTGGAAGATAGGGCCTTTGGTCTCTGGGCCCTCAGCCACCAAAAAACACCCCTAAGACAAGTATGTGGGTTCCCAAGTAGGGGGTGAGACTTGCCAGGGGTGAGGCAGCCAGGGCGACAATAATCTGAGGAAAGAGTTCATTCCCTAAGTCAAGGTCACTGTGTCTCCTAGGGACAAAGGTATTGGGATGACATAATCCTGGGTCTTTTACCTAGGTTTAAAAGGCAGTATCAGGGCTTAGTAACATCCACTCAACAGTAACCTTCTACGCAGCTTACAGACAAAGGTTACTTCATCCACATGGATGAGCGTGAACTTTCAGAGGCAGGTGAGAAGTCCTAGTTTCAGCAGATTTGCCTCAGCACACTTTCCCCTGGGGAGCTTCCTCAGAACAGCCCAGCAGGTCAGTGTGCATAACCCGCTCTTTTGAGCTGTTCATACATGCGTGAGCCTTGTGCACCTGCTCTCATGCCTGGAGAACAGGAGAGGACTTCTAGGAAGTATAACGTATGGACACTAAAAAACCTAAGTTACTACAGGAGTTTTACGGAAGGGAAGAATCATGGGATCTGTGAGTTGAACTGGTCCTTAAGGAACATCTGCTCCAACCCACTCATTTCATATCTGAGAAACTGAAGATCAGAAATGGAGGAGGTCTTATCCAAGGTCACAGAGCAAGTTAGAACAGACCCAGCACTGAAGCCCAAGTTTCCTAACTGCCAGGCATCTGCTCTACACTCAGGAAGGGCTGACCTATCAGGATCAGCAGAGGCAAGCTCCTGAAAATAGCACTCCAAACAGGAACATACCAGAGCCAGAGCGGGTGGGGGAAGAGGGGAGAGAGAGGTGGAGGAGGGGTAACAGATGGTTACTTTGAGTTGTGGCTGGGAATCAGTAGCCACACACCAGAGGAACTGCATCCATGGACTCTGCCTACCCCCAGTCCTTTTCCTGGGGCCTCTAGGAACATGGAGAGACCAAGCAGGGAAAGAGGGACTACTGCCACAGCTCCTGAAACAGCCCAAAGGATCACAGAAGCACTAGTGGAAAACCACTTGGAAGTCATTCTCTTCCCATGTTGGAAGGGGGTAGATGTGAGGCAAAGAGGGGATGAGGGAGGGACACAGGTTTATTTCCAGATGTGAAGACTTCCAACCTCAAGACAGGGATTTCAGACAGGCAGGCTGGGCTGTGTCCACTAAAGTCTGGGCGCTTGTCCTACTACCTCACAGGAATGAGCCTCTCGTGATTAATCTAGGGGTTAAAAGACAACTCTGGAGAGAGAATTCCAACTTTGGCAATTACTAGTTTTATGACCTTGGACAAATTATTCAACCCTTAGTAGACTTACTTCCAAAATCTGGTAAGTGGAATCAATATTATCAATATTGTAATATAACCAATATTGTATCTGCCGTTCAGGGTTACGCTGATTAAATATAATACTGAGGCACAGAAAGGGCCTATTAGGACAGTGCCTGGTCCCTAGTAAGCCTTCACTTTGAGGAGATATAGACCCTCCATACAAACAGGGTGATGATAAAGAACATTATTTCTTCCACTCTCTAGCAAAAGGATCTCTGGGAAAGGTGCACTTACAAGCACTGTAGCTGCAAAGGTGCTAATGGGATTATATACAGTAGAAGGAAAAAAAGAAGAAAAGTAAACTAAAATGTAAGGTTATGTCACTGGGCTCCAGACCTGGCTGTGCGCCAAGCAGCCAGTCTGCACCCTGAGACTCCCCTACCTGCACCACTGCGGCGGGTGCTCATGTCAGCCACATACGTCCACTCGTTGGTCGCTGGGTTGTACTGCTCCACGGTGCTCAGACACTGGCGGGAGGCCCCATCATAACCCCCAACGGCATAAAGCTTCCCTGGAACAGACAAAGAGGATGAGGATGGTGCCAGGGACGCTAGCAGGGCACTGAAGCTTGGCTGACGCCCACCTTTAACCCATAGGGCACTCTTACTTTAGACTGCTGGGCCCCCTTCCTCCAGAAGAATGCAGGCTTATGTCCCCAGTAGGGGAAACCGTCTTCACATTTCTGCCTTCTACTTGCTCCTAAGTCCTGAGCTCTCTAGAAGCAATTCTGAACCTCGTTCTAAATAAGAACTCCAAAGACCCAGTTGAAGCTATGACTTGGCACCACCAGGCTCAACATATTCTTGCTGGTGAATTAGGTTAATGCTTCTCTAGAACAGAGCACCTGTACTGGATAGATGGAGAGCTGGAGGGCTCTCGGCTATTACCAGGCAGGCTAACCATCTGGCTAACGGCTTCCAATAACAGATGGGATAAATGTGGAAAAATCTTCTTCAGTGAGAGCCCAGACTCAAGCACATAGCCACTGTTTCTGTTTTTTCCGTATTTCCACAGGCAGAGCTTGTGTGTGGAGTGCTCTATGTAGATTCTGGACTGAGGTGGCTGGACTTTTGTGCAGACAAAGCTGGGAGCTCCAAGCCATGCATGAGGGCCCTGAAGCACCATCATCTATTTTTAAAATAAAAATACCACAAAGCCATTACCCAATAGCATCATTTCTTCCTGGGGCTGGGGACTAGGAGCAAGATGGGACAAAGGAGCAGAAAATTGGTATTCTAGCTGCTTGACAACAGAGATTTGAACCTTTTGGATTTAATATTTAGTCTTAGAATGCGATGGGACAGCCCTTTCTGTAGGGGAGAGGAAGTGACCCTACTTCACCTGATCTTGGGGGGCGGGGAGCATGAGTTACAGAACAAGGATGTTGAAAACCAGCTATAGGCTGAGTAAACACTACCAAATGCAAATCTTTTTGACAGGATTATTTAATCAATACATTTTGGGGGTCATTATATGCTTATATAAGAGTACAACAAAAATGAGAAAACCTGAAATAAATACTTGAAGTTAAATTTTTAGGCTCAAAACTATACCCTACCACCATGGTTACTGATGTATGTAAGAAATGTAAAATTATTCTTCTATTGTCACTGGGCCTGGTTTTGTTTTCTTCCCCCAGAGTCCTCTCCACTAACACTTCTGAAAAAAATAGACCTCTCCTGCGCCGTTCAGCCCTCACCAAAGTCAAAGCAAAAAAATCAAAACCAGAAACAAAACAAACAACAACAACAACAAAAAAAACAAAACAGGCCACCCACATGGTGTGGCTGGTTCAATGTGACCTTTCCTTAACACAACCCCACTCTGCTAGGGAGCTTCTGCCTACACTCTGATCCTAATACTCTCTTTTCCTGAGCAGAGATTCTTCCAAGAAGCCAGGAGAAACTATCCTAATTTCCTCTATGTTTTCTCAGTGTCCTTCAGACTCCACAGCGTGCAGGAGAGGATGCGAGGGAGGGGAGCAAACCAGACAATGCACAGAGCTGCGTTCCTGCCTCCACACCTAGACCCACTGCTGTCCCAGGTGACTCACAGCCCACGGAGCTTCACATTCAGGAGGGGAAAGAAAAGTGAGTTCCAATCTGTCCTCCACCTCCACAGGGCAGGCTCCAAGACAGCGCTTCTTCCACACACAGAACATGCTCACAAAAGCCTTTGTCAAGGGGAGTATTCTAAATTACTACCATTAAGGCACCTCCTCTAACCCCCACCAGCCATTCCAAACCTGCATCAGCTGAAAAAAATACCCACTCAAGGTTTCTCCTTGACTATTAACAGGGATTTGCTATTTTTAAGTCCTGGTCTATTGTTTCATATTCCTGGCTGAGGAACAAGGGGGGAATGGGAAGGTGGCTAGACAAAGCACTTAGATTTGGCAGAAAAATCAATTTCTGTTCCACCAAGAGGATGAGACTGCAAGAAACAATTTATCTTGGTAGGAGGAAAAAAAAAAATCCTTGTAGTCACTTAAGATAACTTGTTTTGTGTGTTAAAATAGTTTTAAATGAAAATTTAAACTATGCAAACCAGTACAGAAAAAGAATATTTCTATTATTGTCTAACTGCATATTCCACTCTGCCCAAAGCATGTGTACATGGGTGTGTTCTTGCTGTGTGCATGAGAGAGAGAGAGAGAGAGAGAGAGAGAGAGAGAGAGAGAGAGAGAACACACATCTGCATACACATCCAAGTGAACAAATCTTCCAGTTGTCCCCATGCATCAGGACAGGCTAATGGGCCAATGACATCCCATAAACTCTAGCCTTTTTGGTTCAAAAAATACTTTATGCCTTGGCACATTGAATTCACACATATTTGTAAAACTCCTACCCATTAGCACTTGTTAATGGTCTGAAGGAGCAGAGACAGCACAGCACAGTGGAAGAGCATTGGGCTGGAGCTGGGAGACAGGCTGAGGACTGGCTGTGCAGTTCCCTACCACCGCGATGTGCAGCTCATCCCTGAAACTCTTTGGGACTCAGTTTCTCCATCTGGAGAGAGTGGAGAAACTCTGAGTTCTGCCAATCTTCTTCAGAAGAGTTTTGGGAATAAAATGAGAGACGGATAATTTACAAACAACTGCACACTGTCTGGCCAGGCCCCCAGCCAGCCTCCTGCCTCACCCCGCACACTTCCAACTGCCCTGCGGAGAGAGTTGTCAGACCTGAGAAGAGGCTCTGCTTAATGTGCCATGTTTATACATGTGAGAAAAATGTTCAATAGGGGGTGGGGTTGTGGCTCAGTGGTAGAGTACTTGTCTAACAAGTATGAGGTGCTGGGTTCAATCTTCAGCACCACATTTTAATAAATGAAGTCCCATGAACAACTAACAAAATATTTTTTAAAAATTAATCCACCACAGTGGGGACTCTGGGTTCCTACTCTCAGCAGAGCTGTTGACAAGTGGACAGAGACAGGATGGCATTTCCTCTGGGCTCTTCCTGTTTTCCCCAACCCAATCAAACACCTCTCAGCCCTGGGCTAAAGCTTCACCTCCCTCATCTCAACCACCCTCTTCTGTTAAATCAGGAACAATGGCTCCTAATTCAGCAGTGATCTGAAAAAACGGAGCCATGTTAGAGCATCGAGCATGAGGCCAGACCCAGCACAAGGTCTGGGGGCCAGGGTAGGGCTGGCCACCCACTGCTGCCTCCTTACCCTCCACAACGCCCACACCCACACTGCTGCGCCGCGTGTTCATCGGGGCCACAAAGAACCACTCGTTGGTCTTGTAGCTGTAGGCTTCCACCGACGCCAGGCCTGGGAGACAAGAGACTCGTGAGATTCTGCGGCACCAGGCCTCCGCTGACAGTGGGGAGTCCAAACCTGGGGGCTGCAGACCTGCATGCATGGCCTGGTGCCACCTCTGCCTCTCTATGTGGCCCTTGACAACTCCCTGAAACACATCTGTAGTGGCCACCTGAGGGGACACTAAGACTTGACTCAGAGGACGGGTTATGAGTGGACGGGGGTGTGCCTGAGCTGTTCTGCCAAGGTAAATAAGTCACTGAACTCACAGAAAGGAATGCTTTGATTCCAAGCAGAGACGTGAGGCTGCCTCATCGAGCCCCTGTTCCAACTCCCTTTTCCCTGGTCTTCCTCTGCCTCTGGAGCTAGAAAGTTAAACACTTGCCTTTGAAGATTCCCTTGCAGCTAGGGGTGACCAAGTCAATGATATCTAAGTAGAAATCTCATTGGGATTTCTGAAATAACCTTTACTTTTCAGAGATAGGTGCCACTCTTTCTTGCTTTTGTTACCTGGAACACAAATGTATTGGCTGGAAATAGAACAGCCACATTGTGATTAGAAGGAAAAGGCCCAGAGAATCTTAGGAACTTGGCCCCAATTTCCTTGAGCAATTAGATCAAGTCAGGAACTCCTTTTCTTGTTTTTCAAAAATAAAACAAAAATTCTTTATTTTAAAGCCATAGTATAGTTGGACTTTCTACTTAGAACCAAAAAAGCAGGTCCTAAATGAAGCAATGTACCGCTATCCCTTCTGCTCAATAAACATAGCCTCCAGAAAAGCTAAAGACCATGGAATTTGTGAAGCAACATGAAGAATGAGAAACATCACCAAATCGTGAAGACACAAATGAAACTTCAGAGAAGTAAAAAATATTGTGTTTTTATTTTTTCTTCCCTTGTGGCTGAAGAACACCATTTTATTTTAGTGAGTTGGTGTCTACAGAGACATCTACCCAGCAGTATGAGTACAGATGAGATCTTCTCTCCAAGTCCATGTCTTCTAATGGTTCAGACTGAAATTTTTGAAGCAAGGTAAAATCCAGGAGCAAGGAGTCCACCTGTGGTGGCCCAGTCTAGGGAGGCTCAGTGGGGCAGTAGAAAGGGCAATGGACAAGCCTGGCTGCCAGTGTGGCCTGAGCCAGGCTTTGTCCCACTGCTGAGCCTTTGTTCCCTTATCTGTTCAGTAGAAGGTGCAGACTAGGGACACTTGAGTGTAGGCTCCTTCCCAGAGCCCTAGAGATCATACATGGAGAGTTTCATAGTCTGTATGAATATGTTCCTATTCTTTGGGGGCCTGGCTATGGCTCCAAAAGCTGGGTAAGGAAGGATGGTGCCGTAGTTTGGTTCCTATTGCCCCCAAAGGCCCATTGTTGAAGGCTTGGTCCCTGGATCAGTGATATACGATACCTTCAGCAGAAGGGGCCTTGAAGGAGGTCTCCAGGTCACTAGGAGTGTGCCCTTGATGGCAGTGTGGGTCCCACTTCCTGTTCCCTTTTGCTGCCTGGTGATGAGGCGGGCAGGTTTGCTTGGCCATGTGCTCCCTCCATGAGGTGCTGCCTCACCACAGGCCTAAAGCAAAGGGTGACCTGAGCAGGGACTTGACCTTCAAAACCATAAGCCAAAATAAATCTTCTCCTTATAACTATCCCAGAGGAAAGCTGAGTAACACAGATGTGTGTGTTGCTGGGGCAGTGCTGCAGAAGGACAGATGTCAGCCCAGCAACTGGCTGGACAAAATGAGGCTGCATGGAGGATGTACCCAGGTGGGGATGGGGAGGGAATAGGTCCTGGACCTACCAGTACTGCCATCGAAACCTCCCACCGCGTACAGCAGGTCATTGAGCACGGCCGCACCCAGTGTGCTCCGGCGCTCCTGCATGCTGGCAATGGACGTCCACTGGTCCTTCACACTGTCATACACGTCCACAGTCCGCACCCGCAGGGAGCCATTAAACCCACCCACAGCATACACGTGGCCGGCCATGAACACCACACCTGAGGCACAGGAAACCAAGGCACGAAGGTTAGGTCAGGTGGCTGGCTGAGCATGTTGATGCATGATTACGTGGGAGCAGGCAGGCAACACATAACTCACCACAGAAGACGATCTCCGACTACAGACACCTGGGGGTCACTATGGCGCTCACTGGATTTCTTTTCCCATTTGTTTTTCTAATTTTACTTGATTCAAGCAAATGCCTGAATTTGTTTACTCTCCCAACCACGAAAGAACTGACCACAGAAGGGATAGCCCGAAACCAAGCAGGTAGGGAAGGCAAGGGAGCCTGAAACACACAGGTGTCTGAAGAACTAAGGAGCACTGCATGACTTCCAACACAGGGCACTAATCAGCCAGGAAAACGCAGCTGCTGGACTGGGGGACTCACCGGCTCTGCATCTCCTGGATGGAAGCTCTGCAATCTGATCCCACCGGTCCTCCTCAAAATCATAGCACTCCACGCTGCGGATTGCCTTGGGTGCTTGGCCACCAACCACAATCATCACCTCCAGAAAGACAAGGGGACATTAGCTGGATCTTCCTAACACCAGATTAATGGGTGATCTATCCCTGGTTCTTCTACATGCTTAGTGCCCAGGGGCTATGCGTTATCTGAGCTCCCAGTTTCCAGAGGTACATATGTGAAGATGCTGCCACTAGTCACCAACATATATGAATATTAAAGAAAAAGCTAACAAGCCTCTTCCTACAGAAACACAACCATAAGTTCTACAGTTCCAAAATACCCTAGTTGGGGTAATGGTGGGGGTACATTAAGCTTAAGCATCCTCCGCAATCTCAGTACCCTGGAGGACTGGGATGGGAAGTTCAATTTTACAGTGAAACAAACTTGAATATATTTTAGAAGAGTGCAGAATTTGGATGCATTAAGAAAAAATTATTATTTAAAAGTATTTCTAAATGTCTAGCCTGCAGGGCACACTCATTGCAGTATAGAAAAAAATATTTATACAATAGTATATATGTGATGGTTATCACAAAACTTATTTAACTGATGATGCTTTGAAAAATGGCACTAACAGTGGCTATTTCCACAGGTACAGCAGTCACTATCACTGTCGGGCAGTGTTAAGTGTGTCGTCATTCACTTGTCACCCTGACCCTGTGATACAGACATTATCATCCACATTGACAGATGAGGGGAGTAAGCTCAGAGAACAAGGCCCAAGGTCACACATGTAGGGGTGGCAGAAGAGAGGCTAAAACTGCAGGCAACCTGACACAGGCCTGAGGCTGGCCCTACCCCTCCTGTTCTGAAGAGTAGGTCCGTAGTCCATGAAAACACAGGTCATTGCATCTGTTTGTCAAAATGTAGGTCACATTTCATTAGTGGGTTATGAAATCAATTCAGTGGGTTACAACTAGTGTACTTTTGTAAACAGGACAGAAAATACCATAGCAAGGATGCTATTTCATGAAATAGCCAGGACACCTGTGTGTCCTCCAGATGGCATTTCCTACTGCAGGACTTGGTCAAAAAAAGGAAAGCCATCGCTAAACTGTGGAACCAACCTAGATGCCCTTCAACTGATGAATGGATAAAGAAAATTTGGTATGTATACACAATGGAATACTATTAAGCATTAAAAGAAAATAAAATCATGGCATTTGAAGGTAAATGGATGGAGTTGGAGAATATAATGCTAAGTGAAGCTAGCCAATCTAAAAAAAAAAAAAAAAAAAAATGCCGAATGTTTTCTCAGATATAAGGATGCTGATTTATAATGGGGTTGGGGGGTAGCATGGGTGGATTAGATGAACTCTAGATAGAGCAAGCGGAAGGAGGGGGAGGGAGGGAGAATGGGGGTAGGAAAGAGGGTGGAATGAGATGGATATCATTACCATAAGTACATGTATGAAGACATGAATGGTGTGACTAAGTTGTGTACAACCAGAATTATGAAAAATTGTGCTCCATATGTGTAATATGAATTGTAATATATTCTGCTGTCATATATAACAAATCAGAATAAAAGTAATAAAGGAAAGCCATCACTCTGACTGCATTCATTAACAGAACTGCAGTGCATACCTATCTGTGGCACATCCCCATTATTGAGACTCTTGTCACATGCCACCACTAAATAAGAATTAAAATACCAGAGCTAACTGTAGTTTACACATTTTAATAACTGGGCACATTCACACTGTTACTGTATGACACAGTACACTCAATTGCACCCCAATACACTTTCCTGAGCAGAGAGAAAAGGGTAGAGGCCACAGGCAGCCAACACAAGCCACAGGATTGTTTCCTGCAACCTGTCTTATTCACCCAATGGTTCCCAAAATTCAGTGTGCATCAGGTTCACCTGAAGGGCTGTGAAAACACAAACTGTGGTCCCCCACTCAGAATTTCTGATTTAGCAGGTCTAGAGTAGGGTTGAGAATATGAATTTATAACAAACTCCCAGGTGATGCTGCTGCTCTGTTCTAGCTTTCATACTTGGAGAACCACTTTTTTAACTCATGGCCTGTAGGAATTTCATAATGATGCTAATGGTATGCCATCAACAATTTTTGCCATTACTAATAATCATAGTGCTTTTTACTTCCCCACAATGTACTCTGGGGGAGAGGACAGAGCATCAAAACCTGCATGAGCACACAGGAGCACAACTCTCAGATGGACATTATCTACCATAAGGGGAAGCAAAACCAGATCAGACAACCATTGCCCAAGATCAACCATTTATGCCCCAAGATGCCAGATTAGGCTCATGCACTGCTCACATGGTGACTGCTGATCACTAGAGTTAGCCCACCAAATTTGAGTCATTCAAAGCTCAGAAATCAGTTCTAACTTCTAAAGCATTCCACAGGAACTCAGGACATAGGTCAGGCTTAAACTACTACTGCTTCCAGGCAGGCTTTCCTGCATGCTTCAACTCAGAAGGTCCCACTGCTCTGTGTCAAGAGCAGCCTTTTTCAGAGAAAAGCTGGATTCTTCCCATCTGTGATTCTTTGCTTACATAGGCAGCCATAAGCAGGTCCAGGGTATACTAATGAACACAGCCTCTCAGCAAACTTCAGGTTATGCCCAACGTACTCCTCCAGAGCAGAAAGACTAGTCCTATGTTCATAAGCATACCTAGAACTTGCATTGTCCTAAACTAAACTGAAGGCAAGATGTTGCAAGGATTTTCTTCGAAATCGAATTTCTGGAGTTGAGAGGGAATAAACCCAGATTTTAGTTTTCTCTCTGCAGGATGCCACCCCTCACTCTTGCATACAACATTCCGTCTACTTTAGATATTCTTCCTCTTTTTGATCCTTTTGCTTTAACACCTGCTTATCTTCCAGGTCTTAGTTTACATGTCTCTTCTTCAGAGAGGGCTTCTTTGACTCTGTGTCTGAGCTGCATGTCCCTCATGCTACCCTGTGTGCTCTGCTTTGTGCTGTGACCATTTAGTGATTTGTCTGTCTTCCCACCTAGACAGTAAACCCTACCAGGACAGAAAATCTGTCTGCATCAATCACCAAAATAATCCAAATAATGTCCTTATATTGCCAGGTAAAACTGAGGGCTCAGATGTTTCTTTGAAATTAAAAAATTAATGAATAAAAAGTAAATAGCAAGGAGTCAAATGAAAAAAAAATAATCAAATGAAAAAAATATAAAACTGGAATGTCACTTTGGTTAAGATGTGTTGGAACACTAGATTACAATTCTGGCAATATTGAGGAAAACAAATGATATAAAAAAAGGAAAAGTAAGAGATTTTCCCACCTTTGACTCAACCATCAGAACAAAGCATTACTTGTTCCTTGCACAAAGTATCAAGCTTCTTCTTTAAATTAAAAAAAAAAAAAAAAGGTAAAGCTTTCAAGAAACCTCACCATGTCCTAGAAACTGTCTCCTGCCAAGTGAGGGGGCACATTCATACTGGAGAAAATCCACCACTTGTGGAAGAACTTTCATTGTAACACAGAAACAATATTACAGAAATGGAAAGTTTCTCATGTTAAAATAAAACCTGAGTACAAGGACAAAAATAATACAGGACACATTTTCAAAATAAACTTGCCTCTGAGCTCACAAAAACACTAATGAGAAATGACTTTTAACATTCAAACCTTATATGATAGTCTGAAAAGAGGAACTGTAAAGGTTTTGGTAGGGTAGGATGGTCACTTCTGAGGGGGATGGTGGATCAAAGCAGCAAGGAGAAGCAAGCATACATTCTGCTTCTTTGCAGGTATAAGAAATCCAATTTTTATGGCAGTTATTGCAAGAAGCCATTTGTACAAGGAGCACAGTATCCCCCATTGTGGTGATCATGCAGAGTATAAAGAATAAATTTCCTATCTTGACTACTATAGAGAAGTTGTTTCCATAGATACCTGATCTTAAAAACCAAGTAGGCAAATATGAGTATTCCCAAAGTCTACATGTGTTACATCTCTGAAATTACAAACTTCTTGCTGCTTAAGACCACAGGCTGTTAGGGCAAGGACAGACTTAAACCATTTTCTCTGGGGAGCCCTCACCCAGGCCCAGGTAGTTCAACAGGGATATCCCTTTCTTTCCCCAACACTGATAAACCCCAGCTTACTAAAGACTTATGAGGTCTTCAACAAAGACAATGGAATCACATCAGCTTCTTTTATTGATCACTATTTTTTAAAAAGTGACAGGGTCTCACTATGTTGTCTAGGTTGGCCCCAAACTCTTGGGCTCTAGTTGTCCTCTGCCTCAGCCTTCCCAGGACTACAGTCTCCATCCATCACTCCTAGCAATGATTACTATTTTTTAACATTTTGTATAAGCATAATTGGTAATACAGGAATCCTAATAAGCCCAAGAACTGATTCTGGTCTAACAATGATGCTGGACTGAACATCATTTAATCACTCCTGAGGACTGCAATGTCCTCGGGGGGAGTCTTGCTAGTTGCCTCAGGATCCTGATCCCAGGTCTCCACTGTGTTAAAGGCTGCAGACATTCTGGTGCCTGGAAAGCTCTGGTTTGTAGAACATGAGTGGTTATTAGACATCTCTCAAAGAAAACACCCTCTCACTTCGGAAGGTAAAAGGGACATTTATTTTAGTGAGACCATGGAAAGACAACCTGATTTCTTAGAAAAGAAATTCCAGAATAACAAGTTTTTCATACATATATAATGTTCTTTTGCATAGATCATTCTAGTTCTACCAGTATGACTGGGATTGAAGGCATGTTGGTCTCTCCTCACTGAAATGATAACCACTCTGTCTAAGAACCATTAGATCGGAGAGACTAGTCAGGAAAAGGGACAGTTGGTGAACAGAACAGAGCTTTCAAGACCCTAACCCTGGCCTAGGGCTACAGAAGTCATTGGCATCTCCACTCAGGTGAAAGGAGCAACCTGGGCTCTGCACAGTTTCTTCACAGGGCAAGAGCAGAGTATGTCCAAACTCTATTCCATGACCAGCGAGCTGGGCAGAAGGCAGGCCCAGCCAGTCGGTCCCTCGGGCCAGGGCAGGAAGTGAGTCTCTCTTACCC